CACAAAGAAAGGGAAAGAGGAGGCTATAACTATCACATTCATAGTGGTGTAGAGAGGAGGCTGAACAGTTCTGGAATTTTTTAAGTCCCCCTTTACCCTATGAGAGTTGTGCCAGAAAGGGCATCTAGTGCCTATATTTGTCATATCAAATATGAATATCAGTCTGCGGTGGTGAGTCAAATGTCTCTGAAGTGGGTTTGGTCCTACTTTTAGTCATTGAAGGCAGAGACCCACAAACAATCTGCAACTCACTGCAGTTTTAGGATTTCTTCAGCCCGCTAACACAAAGCAAGCCTTAATATGTTACCGCAGCAAAGTGAGCTGTCATTTGTGAGCCACGATGAAGCAAGCCGCCTTATTTCCGCCACATTTCTGCACTAAGCTTTACGGTAGCACTTCTTCTTTGTTGTTGATCACAAAAAAAATGCACGAGCACACCCATGCATGCACGGACATCTCACACTCACGCAAGCACGCATGCACGCATGCGCACACACAAACAATTTGGAGGTTTTTTCTGCAGGAAAAATGAAGATGAAGCTCAAGGACAACTGTTTTTCCTAGTGTTAATTTATTATTTTTTCAGTTTGGTTAGCAATCTTCATTCATCTCAATCCTCAGCAAAATTCCCGACAAGTTTAAGGTCAGTTATGCTCAAATTCAATACAGTCAATGCAATATAATCACATTATATTAAAAAAATCATTAAAAAACATCCTGATAGTTGATGTGACACATTCTTCCTCTCTTCCACCTACTTTATGTTCTGTAATATTCCTCAGAAATTATAGGATAGTTATACTCAAATTCAATACAGTTACTCAGTATGGCATCATATTAAAAAAAACAAAAAACATCAAGCATCGTGAATAAAATCATAATTTTCCAGTCAATGGACAAAGGGCAAAAAAATGCCCCCCCCCCCCAGTAATAATATCATGTGACCACAGTCCATTTTAATGCATGTGCAATCCAAAAACACAGAAAGAGACCAACAAATGAAAAATAAACCCCTCAGATCATCACTGAAATTTTCAAACTGCTGCAAAATCCATTACAAAGGAACATATATTATATGTTTTGATCAGTGAAAAGTTATTAAAATAACATTTTACCCCAAAGGCCTCAAACGGAATCAGCCCTGATTACAACTAAGGCCCAGCCCACAGCCTAACGGTCACAGGAAGCTCTCACTTCCTTCAATCACAAACAAGCTGAGTGCTGAAACCTTCTCTGCACATGCTCAGTAGAGGTGTGGCAGCAGAGGTTTGAACATAGAGCTGATATTACGGGTATGAAAGTTGAAGATATTCATTTTTTTTCCAGTTTTTTTGGATCAGTTTAATCTTCAGGTTTTGGTTGAAATGATTTTTCTTTGATTTCTGTTTTGTTGAATTTTTGGATTCTTGTTTTGATTTGTTTTCTTTAGCTTTTGCGATTGCTGTTGATGGTTCTTCTAATGATGGCTTTCAGGTTTTCCATCCTGTGTTTCTGGTTTCATGGTCTTGGATATTTGTATTATCGGTGAGAGTTTCTGTCTTCATGTGACAGTATGTGTTGATAAAAGCTACCCTGAAGGCCTGTGATGGGAGTTTTGTGATCCTTTGTTTGAGATGTTTTTTAATCTAAGCAAATCGTTATGTTTGGAGCAGACGACCTAAAAGTATGCAGCCAGAGTCAATACAATAAAAATGATTATAACATAAAAGGTAACATTCATGTTTGTTCATATAAATAAAGGCTGTTTTGAGCCAGACATTATTGCGGCTGTGTCTGAGGAAGGTGATGTAGAGCACAACAAAACCCTGTTCTAAGAAAAAAAATACAACCTTAAAAATGCATAATGTCCAGTTAAACACATTTTGAATGAAAACCGGTATTGAATTTAATGAATTAATATCACATTGAAACTTGCTCAGTTGACACTCATATAAACAAAAGTTGCATTTTTGCATTAGCTTTCTTAGATTACACAGTGTAAGACCTCATTTAATGCACTAAATCCACCATCTGTAAGATGACATCAATCAAAGCAGCCGGCAAAAGATTAAAAACAACAAATTGTCAGATAATTAACAATTATTCCAGACACAGATGATAAAATTTGTTTTTTTGTAAATAATCATCATTTACTAAGAGTGAATTACTCCATTAAGCAATCAAATTCTGTTTTGCTTTTTGTTTTGTTTTGTTTTTTCCTTTTTCTTTACATTATTGATACTTAAGACTATTAAAAACAATTTAGACAACACAGATAAGCATAAAATACCAGTTCACAGTGTTATAAACATTTGATCTAAAGTGACACAGCTGTCATCCTAAACTGACAGCTTTTGCAACCATTATATTGAATCTGTTCGGAGTTCTTATCAGGCTCAGAAAAGCTTTATTTTTAATGTTTTTACACATTTATTTACACACACACACAGTGTGTCTGATCTCATTCCAGAATGTTCAGGAAGCAGGAATAGTCACTGCTTTTTTCCACCTGGGTTACTTTAGTTTTTTACAAGGCTAGTGTAGACATTGTTACCAACATGAATCACTTCAGACTGATACAAGATGCTACTTGGAGAGCAATGTTGATGCTTAAAATAACAATAAAAACCAGTCTTCATACCTGCAGTCTGTTCCTGAACACGTGACTGTGCTAGTGTTTGGTTTCTGTCTGGTCAAAGAAAATCTGCCTGCAGCAAAGCAGCCCAAACATCCTGGAGCATCGTCTGTGCATCCTGGGAAATTGAGCTCCTTTAGCAGATCTGCTTTTTGTCCCTACCCAGAAAATTATTAGGGAAAACTTGTTCATGAACAAAACAAACAAAATAGTCTAATTCTGCTTGTTCCACAGATTTGAATGAGTTTGAGGAGATTTCTGGAGGTTTATTGTTGATGTGATCATGACTCTGATTTTTGATTGACTGTGATGCAGTTATTTAGTTTATGTTCACGTTAAAAATAATTGAATACAGATGCTTTTAGAATCACCCCCAAGTCATGGGTCAGCTGCTTGTTATGACCTCATTTTTCCCTGTATTTCTCCGAGTGGTTCTTGTCCCAGTTCTTCCATAGACGGTACTTCACATTGTTAAACGAGATGCTGGCTGAGGAAAGGTACTGCACTGATCGGGACATGGCGGCTCTGAAGGTCGGCGTTGTGGCTGTGATGATAAAAATCTGAAGACCCTGAAAACATAGAGCAGGAAAATAAAAGTTATTCACTTCT